GATCAACAGCTCAGAATTTGCACAGAGGCAGGTGAACCACAGGTATTCAGCAGTACTTTTGCCTCACAGGCTTCTTTCAGCTTACCATACAAAGCACACATAAATGCAAGCAGGCAAACAAGCTCTGACTGACAACTTCAAGTAAATCAATCTCACCCAAACTAGACCTTGAATTATTAAAAATAGTCTGATTCATGCCATTATTTAAATTATCTTTCAAACATATTTTCAAAATTTTGAACATGCTTATCATTGCTAAACTGTAACAATGTTACAGTGATAGCTATATAAATGATATCAATTATATTTTAAAAATAATGTAACATACATCCTGCAAAAGAAAGAGATTGTTTTCTAAAGGGTAAAGTTTAGAAATTAGACTTTAGTTAATCAGACAAAGAAAGTACAGTAGAAGTAAAATCACCATAATCCTACTGGACTATAGCACAGCTCTCTCATTAGAAAGAGATAATTGGTGTGGTTTAACCTGAGGGTCACCACGCCTCAGGTGTGGGGAGAGATTGAGAAGGAGAATCTTTAATGGTAACCTCAGCCCAAGCAGGACATGAACCCATGCTCTTGGTATCACTCTGCATTGCAAACCTGCCGTCCAGCCAACTAAGTTAACCAACCCCTAAAAGAAGTTTAGCAATTTAAAAGTCAAGTCATAAAGACAAATAGATTATTGTCAGTTGATAGTACTTGTATTCTAGCTCAAGGTCTTTAGTCCCTGACCTCTACAGCTTCCCAATTTGTTGATCTTGGGCTTGGATTTTTATTGCTGCTGCCTGAGGACTAATGATTTTTTCTTTTAGCAGTTAGTAAAATTTTGCTTTGCAAACACGTCAGTGAAATGTTGGAATCTGTACTTATCAGTGCAAAAATGTCGTGGTTAAACACGACACAAATATTGTATTTTTGTTTCTCTCTGTTTCTAAGCAGGTATCAAGGTGCAAGTTTCGTCATAATAGATTTTCTAGTCAAAGGCAGCATATGCTTGGCAGCTTGGTAAATTTGTTGCATATATTTACGTTTGACTAATTATACAATAGTTTTTTTAAAAAAAATCACAAACATTCTGCAAGATAGAAATATCGTCAATGATTATATACAAAAAGCTTATGCTACCCACGTTATAGTGTCTTAAAGTATTTAAACGCCTCCATTTTCCATCTCGTTCTGATGTGACGTCCAGATCTGAAAGAATTTGACCAGTAGAACCTGGACGCCATTCTGCGGCAAATGAAAACAAAAAAAAAACTTAGTACTTTCTCTTGCCTACTGTAACAAACAATTTTCCACAAACATTATGGCCTTGAAATCAGCAGGGAAATAGAGATAGGGAATCCAGAAGCAGACAAATAACTCAGTGAGGCAAGAAATTGGAGGACCTACCAATCTTACAGCAGGGCCACACTTAAATAAAACCTTGAAGGTACCACCCAACACCTGACAAGAATCACTACTTGATCGGTGAGCAAACACGGGCATCTGGCATCGGAAAGTCACAGCAAGGATGTATGCAAGAACGACCTCTGGCCCAAATGTTTTGAGCAGGAACGGTTAGAATGCAAACATGCGAAGGTTTTGCAATGGTGGGAGGTGAAGGTGAGAAGAGAACATTGTTCACAGAGATCAGAGATGAAGGCTGCAAGAAGGAATAGAGAGAAGGCTGATAGAAGGGATCAGGAATGGAAAAAGGATCTAGGCCAAGACTGGGGTGGGGTAGGAAGTTGGTACAAAGAATAACAACTAGTTAATATGGTAAATCAGAACTTACCAAGAACAACACTATCCAGCGCAGGCCTTTGCGAAAAAGGAACATTTCTGTACACTTGGTCAAGAATTTTCTCTTTAACCTGGGTTATACTGTCACAGCTCAGAACCTTTACTGGCATCGATTCTCCAACATCCTCTTGTGCGATGACATTCAAAGTCTGGAAAGAAACAAAGAAAAATGAAATAGACAAACAATTCCACAGTGCTGCCCTTTGTTATTTGTTATTTGGTATTTGGTTTTAGGAACATTAGTACTTCAGTTCTCCATAAGCAAGCTGGTCACAATTTCAAATCTTAGAGTACTTCGAACACAAAAGTCGATTTGCACTTGGAACCAATCCAGAAATTAATATCTAACTTTAAGGAGTCTGCAAGGCGCTTTGCAATTGGAATGAACACTCAAGTGGGAAATTAGATTATGTTATGAATACAAGATTTTATGAGATGGTTATATTTTAACTCTCTAGTTCAAAGAAAAATGTGTAATGAAAAAGTAGCATGAGATGTACTTCTAAGTCTGTATCATCTGGTTACCATAGGGACAGAGGCCCATGTCAAATGCTAGTGAAATCCATGTGCCATGTTTAACATTTAAAAACAAGGAGCAGAGCAGCTGGCCTTGTAATGGATAGACTAAAAGATTTCAGGCAAATTGATTAAAAACCCTGGCCAAATGGAGTGTATCCCTGAGAGAGAGAGCAAGAGACAAGCAGGCAGGCAGACAACAGGCACACACAGTTGCCTGAAGACCATAGAGAGAAAGGCTATTTTCTGTTCACTACCTAGAATAATGCAATTTACAGTATGTTCATTAATCAAAGAAACTTAACTCGTGGAAAGTCAAGGACACTGGTGTGGCCAGGAGAAAGTAAAAATCACTGGAGAAAACAGTGTTGCTAGAGGTCAGTTTGAGATTGCTCAGAAGACCGTTTGAAAGAACCTTCAAAATTACTGGACATTATCTCTCAGGAAACGGGGAGCAGTGAGTCTGTTGGAAGCTGGAAGTTTGGACTGTTTCCTGTAAAGACTGCAAACCTGCAGTAAGCATGGCGTAACATATAATAAGGCTCCTGAACCCAGGGCTCATATGCTCTGTCTGCTTTTCTTGTTGTTTTTCTTCTGTTTGCTTGTCTCTTGCAAATATCTCAGACGTGGCAACAGACTCAGCAAGGTAAGCCCAGTGCGGACCTGAGGCGGCAGCGAGGTGAGACCCCACAATGGAGTCATGGTAAAGGTGTTGGAGGTGAGTTTGGGACCCCCACAGTGTCTGCATCCAGCACGCACTCACGGAGGTGGTGGTGGAGGGGAGTTTGGGCCCAGTACGAAACCCGCTGGCAAAGGCAGCGGCTGCATCAGTGAGGCGGGTCTGAAGCAGGCTCTTGATGGTGTCGAGTTTGGGCCGGTGCGGGACCTGGCAGCGTCGGTGGCAGCTGCACTGGTGAGGTCCCGAGAGTACTCAGGGTGGCAGCGGTGAGATGGCACCAAAAAGTGGTGACTCTTGTTCCGGCGCTGCAGCAAGGGGACTCGTGGCTGGCCGCTCCAGGCCCATGGCTGAGTAGTTGACAAGAAGGATTGTAAGTTTGAACTTTATTTCCTTATTTTTCTGATTTGAGAGTCTATGTTTTGGTTTACTCTTCTGTGTTTTAAGATGGCGCTGGAGAGTGGCGACAGATACTTTTCACTGCCTTTTGTAACAAAATATACGTTACAATAAATAAACAAATCAAATCAAATTTTGTCATTTTTTTAAAAAATGAAGATAGATTGAGATGCAGAGTGGTCTGCTCAAAGCCAATAAAGTAAACACCTGTGGTGTTTTTTACAAGTTGGAACAATAGAAGCAGCATGAATGGATGGGGTCAAGCTCCCACAGAACTAGTATTCTTAGTTCTGGCTTTCAGTAGTTGCTGGGACCTTGAAGCTGGATGTGGAAGCTTTTATTCTTCTCTCTGTCACAGCTAAAAACTGGGGTTCTCTTCCTGCTGTTAGAATTGCACGTGAGACAATCTGTTTTACTGACTTTGCCCTTGCCAAGGGTATGTTTATAGGATGTTACTATATTGGAACAGTTAATTAGCTGTAGTTAATATACATATCATTTTGTTAAACATTTCAATAGAGTTACAGTTAAGCCAATTCTTTTCTTTAATTTTTGGTTTTATACTACAGTTAAAATACAGACAAAGCAAAGTGTGTTCTGCTTGAAGTCAAGTAGTTTATCCAATTGAATTCAACCTGGAACACAATGCCTTACACACTTTTAAAATAAGAAAAAGTTAGGGTCTAGGCTATCTTCTTAATATATTTGAGGGGTTTAGTCTGATCCATAAGATGTGGGACATGTGGACTTACCAATACATGATATTCCACATCCTCTCCCAATAATCCCGTGTCATTTAGTGTGTATTTAGCTTTTTTCAGTTCAGCATCCACTGGGCCTTTCTCGACCTGGTGTTTAAGTCCTTTGAAAAGTTTGTATAGTGGCTCTCCAGCAGTATCCTGAATCATAAAAGTAGAAAGACATCCTTCAGTCATACAACAATATGAACATGCAGCCATAACACAGTGTGGCAAATATTTAGGGTTACCTTCAGGAACTGGTATAGGCAAATAGACATCCAGTTGGAAAGCATCCGTTCCACAACGGTTTCACATCTAACAGAAAAGAATGACAAAAGCTCACACTGCATTCAAAAACCAATTTCAGAATTAACTCTTCATTACTCTTTATGTACTGTATTGTATTCAATCTTAACATATTAATTCATCAATTGATTGTGGTTAATTACTGTAAAACAAATTTAGCTATGTTTACATATTGCAAACAAAAGATGATGCATCCAAAAACAGAAATTGTTGGAGAAAAGACGTTTAAAATTTAAAACAAAATTGCAAAAGATGTAAAGAACATTGCAGAAAGAAGTTAAAGACCCACAATGTGCAGATATGCAATAGAAAAGCAGGATGATTATAGGCTATTCAAAATTAAATCTCAGTCAAAGAAGTACTATGCAGATCAAGCCTGAAGTTAAGCAGAAAACACAGGGAAAATTTCAGTACTATAAAAAGTTCATACGACAGGTCAGCCTCAGATATTGTGATTTGTTTTTTTCTTAAAGGAATTCTAATTCAAATGTGAAAAAGTGGTATTTCAGCTGTGCACAGTCTTGGTCAGATCCATTCCAGAGTACTGAACACCGAATTTCAAAATATACATATATCAGAGGGATAAACTGCAGATTGACTAGAATTATGCCATTGGTTTAAAGGGTGACAAATTTTTGCAATTCACTTAATGTTTTACTATAATAAAACTGTTTTCCTTGTTAAAAAGCAAACACTACACACCTTCGGAGCATGAGCTTCGGGTTTTTAGCAACGTATTGTTCCATGAGCTCCAACAGCAGTGTCCTCATGATGTCAGTGTAGTATTCCAGCTTTCCATGCAGAGCAATAGTCAACAAAGATGCAAAATAAACTTTCTCTCTTGCTGAGAAATCTTTTTGACTCTCGAGTGTGTGGATAAACTATTTAAAAAAGTATCATTCATTAGTAAGATGTTAAATGAAGGTACAAAACCCTACAGATGAGATTCTGCTTTCCAAGTTTCAGACTTCACCCAGTCTTTACTGGGGCAGAAGGTGGCCATTAAGCTTACTTAATGACCATTAGGTACACCATCTGGTTGGCCAAAAAAGTGGCACAAATGGTGTCTTAACTGGACAATTTCATAATTATCAGCACGGAAGTCAGTTTGGATATAGAGGAGTTAATACAATTAAACAATGGAACAGAAACAGGATGATATAGCATCAGTGAATAATGAAGGGCTTCATTGCATGAAAAAAACCCACATTAAACATGTATACAAAGTAAAACTTAACTTAAAAAATAAAATGCAAAGTATGTTTGAAGCATTATAGTTTTCACCTTTATTCAGTAAGCATTGCATTAGCTGGGGCATTTATGACATTTTGTAAGTTTGTATGGTGGAAAGTTTCCACTGTTTGCTGATTTTTTTTTAGAACTCTAATGCTTGGCTAAAGGAAATCAATTTCTCCTCACTGCCTTCAATTTCCTTCCTCTTTTCTAGAGATGCTGGAACTCATTTCTCCTCTTCATAAACCTTGGTACCATTCAGGTGGCACACATCTAATGACCCAATGCTGCCATATTTGTGGGTTAGGTCCACACCCTTGGCCAAACACTCTTCAAAGTCTAGAATCATTTATCACAGGAATGGAAAGTCAACCTCTGCTACAGTGCAGGGGTAGACATAAGGCCGACATATTTTGGACACCAAACCTAATAGGTAGACATCCTGCATTCAAACAGAAAAGTAAACAAGACACTGCTATTTTGCTCCCATAACATTTATTTGCTGATATCTGTTGTAGAAATGTGCTCCTACATCGGGAATAACAAACACTCACAACAATGCAAAGGGCATGGAATCCTGGTGTAAAATGGTCTCCACCTCTGCTGGCTTTGCTCTGCACCTGAGAAATTAGCATTCTCCAGGTAAAACTCAGGGGAAAAAGAAAAGCCTTTCATCAATACCCTGTGGGGTACAGTTTCCACTGATCATCCTCAGTCACTTTGCAAAATGTTGACTGGCATCAGTGTTGACAACTAATGTAGACAAATTATGTATGCATGCATGGGGGAATGTATGAATACAACAGACACAGAGCAGAGAAGCCCTTGGTTATCATCCCTTCCATCTTACTAGGTCATTTATAAAGTGCTCATTCTGTTAACTTTCTTGAATACAAACTGGAGTGTGAAACTGGGATATTCCCATTACAAACTGATCAGCAATGCATTGAGCCATCAAAGGAGACTTTGAGCAATTAAATTCAAATTTAACATTGAATTTTGCACTCAAATATACATATGTTGGGGAATTAAGCACTGTTTCAAGTTTATGATGTCATTTCAACATGAAGTACTCAGATGACAGATTAAACTGAGACACCTTCATCTACTCTATCTATTGGTCTGCCTCAGATAAAACCATCTAATGATAGTTTAAATCATGAGGAGCATAGATAAGGTGAATAGCAATGGTCTTTCCCTAGGGTAGGGGAGTTCAAAATGAGAGGACATGTTTTTAAGGTCAGAGAAGAAAGATTTAAAATGGACCCAAGGGACACATTTTTCACACATACCGCTTGTTTCAGCCAGTAAGACATTTGATTTTCACATTAAATGCCCATTGATGTAATGTCCTGTGTGTAACTGTGGTAGACAACTGGACAGTACTACAGTAGAGAATGCAGTTTGTGTGACGAATGCAGGTATCACTACAGCATTTAAAAGAGATTTAGATAGGTACATTAATAGGAAAGGTTTAGAGAGATACAGGCCAAAGGGGACTGGTTTATTTTGGGAACTTGGTCAGCGTGGATGAGTTGGACTGAAGAGTACATTCCCATGCTGAAAGACTCTATGATGGAGTGTGAAACTCTCAACTATTCACAACAGCCTTTTTTTAAAAAAAAAAAAAAAAAAAAAAAAAAACTGCACTTCAGAGATCACCAATTCCCTGTAGTGATAAATTAGGATTAGATTTATGCTGCAGGCTCAGCACCACCAGAAACTGGGTTGAGACCGACCAATCTCAGTTCATGGAGGATTTGTTCTCAGAAGAGAAACGTACATCACACCAATTCCTGCAAAATTCAAGTTAGGTCCACAGGTGAAATCAGAGCAACAACAAGTTTCTCCAGCGTTTATACTACTAAGGTGATCAATCATTTATGGCAAATTTTGACTTCAAGATATGGGAGCAGGTTTTAACAGGCTGTTCAGCATAAATGGGGTGGTAGCAACCTCAAAAATAGTTCACTCTCATTTGCAAAGGGATGGGACCACCTGCCTGTTTCAGCCAGTAAAACATTTGATTTTCACATTAAATGTCCATTGACGTAGTACCCTATGTGTAACTGTGGTAGACAACTGGACAGTACTGCAGTAGAGATATCAGACAGGATGATATTATATTCATGGCAATGCAAGAACAAGAAATAAGAGCATGAGAAGACCACACAGCCTGCCAAACCTGCTCCACCATTCAATACAATCATGGATGACCTTAGAGTTCAACTCCACTGATTCACCATGCACCCCAAATCCATCAATTCCTGAAACTCAAAATCATGTCCAACATAGCCATAAATGTATTCAATGATGGAGCATCTACTCTTGAGTAGAGAGTTCTGGCGATTCACAACTTTTACACTAAGAAATTTCTCCTTAATTCAATCTTAATTCATCATCCCATTAGTCAGAGACTGCACACTCTGTTTTGGATTCCCCAGCCAGTGGAAATAACTCCTCAGAGGTTACTGTGCCAGGCCCCTTCAGAACCAGGAAAAGTTCTCCACTGGACTCCAAAAGAATAATGAAGACTACTGTCAGCTTGGAGCAACTTTCCGCTGGCCAGATTTTCCTCCAAGCTTTGTGATATTGTGACAGCCCAGAGCTGGCAAGTTGCAGCACTGCATCTGGAGCCTGCAGCTCATTGTTACTGAGACCCTGACTACCAAATCCATTGTTTCCAATCAACAACAGAACAGAAACATATTTGTACGCAACAAAGCTTTCTGAATGACTTTCGTCATTCAGTGCCACGTATGTTGTCACTAGACAAGTAACAAAACAAAATATTACTTAAAGATTGTTACTGCTCATGCACTAAATAATGCATTTGAATTAAGAATTATGCATTGATCTTATATCCCATCACCCTCTATAAATGAAACACAATATAAGTAATGTATAAAATCAGGTTCAGCTCCAATCCTCATTCTTTTTATTCTTTACACACTGGAAGTTAGTTGACTTCAGCTCAAATTAGACTTACATCAATCAAGAAAGATTTGCTGTTCAGCAAATTCGAAAACTGGTTAAGAGCTATCTCTACCGAATGTCGCCTTGCCTCTGGAATGTCCAGTTTGCCAGTTATCATGACATCATTTTCTCCATCCTTTGACGGTAGGAAAAAGACACGATCCGTGTAAGTTTTATAATCCAGAAAAGGGATGCCAACATCATTCAGATCATTTGAGTGGTCCTCCATTTCGGTCACCAGGTCTGCAAAAAAAAATTGTTCATCAAAAATAATCCCACAGGTTGTCCAATTTATTTCAGATACATTTATGAATATTTGATTCATTTAAAAAGCAGTAATTCTACAGATCAATGTTGATACATGCTGTTAAGAAAAATATTTGTGAGCAATGATACACGAAAAAGGTGTGTTAATGAGTTTTCTTTACACAGTACTGGTTTGTGTGCTTTAAGTAGGTTAAATGTATGAAGGTGTCTACAATGCACACGGTCCACTGCCTGAAATGACTTATTTAAAGATTGAAGGAAATTTAACAGAATGGCAAGGAATGGCTGGAGTTTGTTTCATTGTAATTAAAAATAATTAACACTGAGCAGATAATTGTCTTGACCTGTTTACATGGTAGAGCATTTTGAAAAACATTTTAAATTGATTTAGCACCTTCAATGGTCACTAGACATCTAAATTACTTTATAGCCAATTAAGTACAATAACAATTACAATTCAAAAGTAACTAAGAAAACGCAGCAATCAATTAGCCAATTTTCACACTGTAAGCTCCCATATTCAGCAATGTGATAATGGCTGGGAATCTGCTTTTGTGTGTAAAAAAAACCAAAACAACTGTAGATGCTAGAAATCAGGAGCAAAAACAGAAATTGCTGGAAAATCTCAACTGGTCTGGCAGCATCTGTGTGCAGCTGAGTTCTGAAGAAGAGTAACTTGACCAAAAATGTTAACTCCAATTTCTTTCCAGAGGTGCTGCCAGATCTGCTGTGATTTGCCAGGAATTTCTGTTTTTGAATCGGTTTTTTTCATGTTGATCAAGGGATAAGCAGCCTTGAGACGAAGGAAAAGTTCCCTGCAATCATCAGGAACAGAAGCAATTTTACCAGTGAACTCTTTCTTGCATCGATCTCTCACACTCTCCTCAAGACTCTCCAACTGTAGCTGAATCTTCTTGTACTCTCGTTCTGCTTGCTGGCTCTTGCGCCTAAAAACAAAAACAGTACTTTTCCAAAGCTGTTGCTTTTGTCTTTGTAAATAAACATCGTTCTTGTAAAAATTGAATTTGATACTATTTAACCTTGATGACAGAGAAATACTGATCTAAGAACAAAAAGAGTTTTTGAATCTGATTTCAATCTTTTCACAGTACCAATTGCCTTCAGGTCAAAACTGACTTAAGGAGGAGGTGAATCCCTCTAGAGAGGTGATGTGTTGCCTACAGCAAGTATTGTAAGTTGACATTAAATGAGTGACCAATTAGTCACCAATCAGTAGTTAATTCAGCAATTTGTTTTGAACTGGAGGAGAATGGAGGTGGCAGGAGAGAATGGGGAATCTGCTCACCACCTATTAAGCTCCTTTAGGAGCAAATTAATGGTTCAGGGTGGGCAAGGCTGGGTTTTCAAAGGTCACAAGGCAAACACTCTGGTGCATGTTAGTTGACAGTTGTCTGGCTTGTTGCAGAGAGATGTGAAACATTGTTTTAAACAATGGCAATGCACTAATTTGTAGGGTGCCTTATATCAATTGAGCACATTAGCTTTATTTTGGTTGCATGAACACTTTCCATTGGATTTCCATTGGAAGCTGCCTGCTCTATTCTGCAAGACAGTAACAGGTCCCATCATGGCTACTGTCTGGATGTGCTGCTGGTATCAAGTAGTATTTAGTATTAGCATTAGTATTTTAAAATACTGAAGCATGAGCAAATGCAGTTGAGGTGGGTGGTTGGCACCCAGAATTTAACTGGTTTTGAAAAACAAGCTCCAGGCTTAGGCTCAATATTCTGGGTTGGCACCCAGTAGGATGTTAGTGTACAGCACGTGTGGACTTTTCTCTAACGGTACGGATTTTGGAACCCTTCAACTTCCTCATTGTATAAATATTTAAATCAATTTATCTATTAGCTGGTGTAAACATGGCTGTGTTGATGAAAAGAATGCTCACATAGAAGCCCTGTTGGACTTCTAATCAGTCAGCAAATCCTGCAGCTACATCACTTTATCCTTCAAGGGAAGAGGAAATTGATACAGATAGTGATGTTGAGCTAAGCAGGAGATGGCACAACATTAGAGGCAGTAACAGGTAATCGGAAGATCTATGCTGTCGTTCAAATACTCAGAATTACATTTCAACAATGAATTTTAAAAAGTGGAAATAAACTATAACATACAAAGCAGCTAGTGGGACTTCACTTGTTCCATTCTGTGGCAGCTATGCTTCATGGATGAGCTACTTAATGAAATTAGCAGCACCTTTTGCAGCAACTTTCCTGGCTTTACTCATTTCTGTATATATAGAGCAAAAAGCTGTACAGCATGGAAACAGACCCTTCAGTCCAACTCATCCATGCCGACCATATATCCTGAATTAATCGAGTCCCACTTGCTAGCATTTAGCCCATATCCCTCGAAACCCTTCCTATTCATATACCCATCCAGATGCCTTTTAAATGTAATTGTACCAGACTCCAGCACTTCCTCTAGCAGCTCATTCCATACACGCACAACCCTCTGCATGAGTATATTGTTTCTTAGGTACCTTTTAAATCTTTCTCCTCTCACCTTAAACCAATGCCCTCTAGCTTCAGACTCTGCTACACTGGGAAAAGACCTTGTCTATTCACCCTACCCACGCCCTTCATGATTTTATAAACATTTATAAGGTCATCCCTCAGCCTCTGATGCTCCAGGGAAAATAGCCCCAGCCTATTTAGCCTCTCCCTACAGATCAAACTCTCCAGCCCTGGCAACATCCTTGTAAATCTTTTCTGAACCCTTGCTAGTTTCACAACATCCTTCCCATAGCATGAAGACCAGAACTGAACACTATTCCAAAAGGGTCCTAACCAATGTCCTGTACAGCTACAACCTCCCAACTCCTATACTCCATGCACTGACCAATAAAGACAAGCATACCAAATGCTGCCTTCACTATCCTCTCTACCTGCGACTCCACTTTCAGGGAACTGTGAACCTGCACTCCAAGGTCTCTTTGTTCAGCAACACAACCCAGGACCTTACCATTAAGTGTATAAATCCTACCCTGATTTGTCTTTCCAAAATGCAGCACCTCGCATTTATCTAAATTAATCTCCATCTGTCACTTCTCTGCCCATCTGATCAAGGTCCCATTGTACTGAGATAACCTTCTGGGCTGTCCACTACACCACTGATTTTACTGTCATCTGCAAAATTACTAATAATACTCCTATGTTCACATCCAGATCATTTACATAAATGACAAAAGACAGTAGACCCAGCATCGATCTTTGTGGCACACTACTGGACACAGGCCTCCAGTCTGAAAAGTAACCCTCCATCATCATCCCTGTTTTCTACCTTTGAGCCAGTTCTGTATCCAAATGGCTAGTTCTCCCTGTATTCCATGTGATCTAACCTTGCTAACCAGTCTGTACCAGATCCCTGCTGTCTGTACCTGACATATGCTTCCTTCTTTTTCTTGACCAAAATCTCAATTTTCTAGTCATCCAGCATTCCCTACACCTACCAGCCTTGCCCTTCACCCTAACAGGAGCATACCGGCTCTCGTTATCTCATTTTTGAAGGCTTCCACTTTCCGACTATCCCTTTAACTGCGAATATCTGCAGCCCCCAATGAACTTTTGAAAGTTCTTGCCTAATCCTATCAGAATTGGCCATCCTCCAATTTAAAACTTTAACTTTTAGAACCAGTTTATCCTTTTCAATCACTATTTTGAAAGTAATAGGATTATGATCACTGGCCCCAAAGTGCCCCCCCACTGACACCTCAGTCACCTGCCCTGCCTTATTTCCCAACAGTAGGTCAAGTTTTGCTCCTTCTCTAGTAAGTACATCCACACTTTTATTTAAAACCTGCATATTACATACCAATAATAGATATTACAGACAAGTTTGGTTTGTAACTAAATTGGTGGACTGGTGCACACCAACAATTAACGCAGAGGTTACACAACATTCCATGCTACTTTTCTCATGTTGCTGCATGTCAACTGTAGCTATGCATCAAAGCCCAGGCCTAGCCTTTTGTTGCTGTATATTAGCAGAAAACATTCAACATACCTGTAGCAGTAAATAGACACACCAATAATCAACAGCATTGGAATCAGTACAAGTGGCAATATAAGACCAAGTGGCAGCTGTGCTGGAGTGTCATATTTTACTTTCCCCAGACAGTATTCACGGAATCCCATTTTAACCTGGTCAGAAGACAGAAATTTTCAGAATGCATTAATGTTTTATAGCATTTAATTGAAGTGGCAACAAAATAGAAAATATTTTAGTTAGTGTTTCTTCAAAGAGCACAAATGGCAATTTAATAGTTTCCATTAATAATTCAGAAGGGCAAAATCAAGCCAAAGACTATAATCTTCTAGTCAGATTTAAGTTTGCAGCCATGGAATTCTGGTTCATAAAGGGAGCTGTGGTCTGTTAAGAGCTGCAAGCTAGAGTTCAATAGAGCAAAGAAAATAATATGTCACTGTTTAAAAGGATCCCAGGCTTTGCCAGAATGGTCTTGAGTATTTGCTTGTGAAATCCAAAAATAATCCCACAGCCTTGCCACCTTTTCTTAGGCCTGAACCCTATAGAATCACTCAATGCTGAAGGTGGCAAATTCTACTCCCCTTCCCTCTGCTGGTTTTTCTCCGCTGCTTCAAGTTTTTTGTTGCTTAAATTATGCAATCGTTTCCACAACTACAGTCACTTCTATGCTCCAGCAACTCAGCATAAGGAATTTTCTCTAACCCCTCGCCCCATTCATTAAATGCCAATCAGACCAAACAAACAGAAAATAGTGTTTCTCTAGTCATTCATCACAACCATTCATTACTTTAAATACTTTTACTAATCCTATTAACCTCTCCTTTGGTGGAAATAGTCTGGAGAAGGCTGATGAATATTTTACTGTTTTGCTTGACTGTACATAGTCTGTGCTAGAAGCAAGCTTGGTGGGCCAGGTACTCTAGTCTCATTTCTTACAAATTTCTCAGAGGAGCACTGAAAAACCAAACACTTATCCCGTGAAATTGGTCTTCCAAGAAAAGGCAGAGCAAGTTTAATTTCTGTGAAGCTGTTTCCAGTGAGACCTTCAAACTTTGCACTCTTATAACTGGCCAGCCAGAGCTCCACTAATCACAACTACCTAGTCCAAGCGATATTGATCCTGCTGAAGATGCTGGCCAAGTGTATGCAAATTGTCTCACCCAACTAACCCAATAGGGCTATATCGTTGGGTTACTGCTTCCACTATAGATGCAGGGGAAGCAGCATCATGGGTGTTTGGGTCAATAACAACTTTTATTCAGATATACAATGATGCAGACATGAACTAAATGAAGAATGAAAGGTACGTACAACAAATTCTGGAAGATCATCATTTGCATCCCGTTTTACCCTCTTGGGCGCTGGCTGTTTTTCAGGTGGAGTACACACAAAGTCCTTCACAGAAAGTGTTGTAACTTTACACTCCTCTGTTCCAATATAAGCTTTCACTTCTTCTGGTGTCATCGCCGCATTCAGACATTTTCCCTAATGTATTAAATGATGGAAGATTCCAACAGGGAACAAAAAAAGTAAAATAAGTCATAAACTGAAGCATTAAAACCTTCTGCCTTCCTTTTACATTCAAGCACATTTGGAATTGTCACCAAAATTACAAATTTGGGATTGGATTACACAAGGGTTAAAAGGTGTTACTTCAGGACATCCATCCATATGGAAATGTGCATGCAGCCATTGCAGTTTTTTTTGATATACAGTGGGTAATATCAGACAGCATGCAGAGGCAGGAAATTACAGTGCAATCAGCAAGTAGTATTAAAACAAATTTCTGCTGCTTGGCTTCCCAGGGGTTATGGAAACCTTCTCCAGCATTCCCATTAGACTAGGAAGTGCAGGGTTACTTACCTGACTGCTCTAGGAGGCTTTTGTTTGCCCCCAAAAATAAAGGCCTTTCTCTCCGCCCTGCTGTGATTGTCGACCCATCTCCTTCCCCTCCCAATTGTTGAGGGCCATTCCCAAAAGGTATCTGATAATGGTTTCCAGTAACATAATAAAAGCAAAATACTGTGGTTGCTCTAAATCGGAGATAAAATCAAAGTGCTGGAAAAACTCAGCAAGTCTGGCAGCATCTGTGTATAGAGAAACAGAGTTAACATTTCAAGTCTGGTATGACTCTTCTTCAGAAATGGTTTCCAGCCTCTGGGTTTCCCTCCCAGCCACAAGCCAGGCTGTCAATTCGTACGGTTCCCAAGTGGGAAATAAAGCAAATTGATAGTGAGGCCCTGTCACGTTTGACAGCCTTGCCAAATTGCTCAAAATGTTTTTATCTCCTAAAAACTCCTGATGAAAATATCACAACATTGTTTCCAAATCACACTTTAAAATAGAAAAACCAAAGCAGCAAAAATTACCTACAGAAAACAAGAGGCTACATTTCTTCACATTATCATTCCAATGCACAGATGGAATTTAGAGTGTGGGGAAAAAAATCTGTTTACAGAAGAGAGATGTGCAGTTTTCAAATCAAAGACTCAATGCTACAGTAGAAACCATATAAAAACCAAGATGCAGCATCCTGTAGTACTTCACTTTAAAATCTTTGCTCTTGAAGTTTAGTCACTCTTGTTCTGTAGGCAGACATGGCAACAAGCATGCACAATCTGAGGTACCACAAATAACAATGAGGTAAAGTGACCAATAATATGGATTCTGTTGGCACTAAATGAGGGATGAATATTGCCCGGTACTCTAGAAACGCTTAAAGGAGTACTATGGAAATGTAATGTCCTGAATGGGCAGACTACTATTTAAGTTCTAGAAGTAAGTCAGTAACTTCAGTAATAGTGTCCCTATGGTACTGCAGGGTCACAGGCTAAGATATCTTACCCTGTGACCCTGCAGTACCACAGTGACACTGTTGGATAGGGAATTCCAGAATTTTATCCCAGTAATGAATAAACACTGGTATATCTCAACGTCAGGGTGGTTTAGAACTTGGAGGAGAACCTGCAGGCGTTGGTGCCGGTGGTTCCAAACTTCTGCTGTCATTGCCTGTCTAGGCAATGGAGATTGTTGGTGTCAAATATGCTGTCGAAGAAGCTTTGGTGAGTTGTTGCAATGCAGCTTGGAGATGGTACATAATGCTGTAACTGTACTCTGATGGTGAACCAAAAAATTTGCTTTGATCCGAATAATATAGAATTTGAGTGTGATTGGAGTTACATTCATTCAGGCAAGTGAAAGTAATTTCATCATAGCCTTGGCTTCTGCCTTACTCATGGTAGGCTAGTTTTGGAGAAGCTCCAAACACACTGCAGAATTCCCAGACAGTCTCTACTCTTGTAGCCACAGTACTTGTATAGTTCTGTTAACCCTTTGGTCAATAGTTACTCCTAGTATGTTGGTGGCACAGGGTTGAAGCAGTAGTAATGTTGTTGCATGTCATGGGAAGACTATCAGATTATATTCCTGACAAATTGCTGGGAGATTTCTGGTGAAACTATTGAACCAGATTACAACATTAGATGAACTCAATGTATGTAGATTTGGTGTGACAACCTCCAGCCATTTCTGAGATTCGATTATACCCAGTTAAAATTGAACAGAGTGAAGCTAATCCGAACATCCAAACCAATATACCAGAAGTATGAATGAAACGTGTAACACAAGACAATGCATACAAAAGCAGCAAAAAAATCTTTCAAAGCTTACAACTAAGAATTACCTTAATGAGGATTGGTGGTTGCTTGAGCACGAATACATCGTTTTTAAAACACTCAAAGACTGGATCCTCTACATATTCAAAGGTTCGGTTTTCATTAAAATTATCCAATATGACAAAGATACAAACATTCTTCTGGTTTGCAGGAGGCGATGGAAAGATGAGCATTGAATTATTTGAATTTTGTAAGGCTTCGGTTTCATTCTGCAAGAGAATATAAAGATTTCACATACAAAAAGTATTTCTTCCTTCTGCAATAACTGCAATAATATCTATATCCATAATGATAGGGTGCTTAAATTATTAAATTTGGTTATCTTAAAAATATATATCTGAATGAGGAATGATAATTAAATACTTTGTAAGTAGGGTGCACCCCTCCTCTGACAGAGGAGAGAACGCTGCCACTCAGACAAGATACCCACTGTATGAAGCAAATGAGATCCAGTTGAGAATCTTTGTAGGCACTTTGACTTAACACAATGCTCTAAGGCCTTAGTCATGAATGATTAACCAGTAGACAATCTTGTCATCCAGAAGGTCTTGTGGCACAGTGGGATAACGTCCTTGCCTCCAAGCCAGAAGTTCCAAGTTTCAAATCCCATTCCAAGATTTAATGGCACCTTAATAACTTGGTTAAACACATTAGTTAACAACCTGCTAATACAGTGGGCAGTAAGAATGGGAGAGTTACCTGGTCAGCCATGTTTAATGTGAAGTAGTCACCTCAAACTACAGCCTCTGGCAACAAACTAATGACAAATTGTCTAATAGGAATAGACATAAGTATGTGCTTTGCCTGTTCCATACACTGTTAGGTATTTTCACAACTGCCTAATGTTAATAATAACATCTCATCTTCTTTAACAAGTAGCTTTGGTACACTTCATATAGCAGATATAATGATCTTTTGTAGGCTGTCATTCAAGTTTAAAAGAGTAAGAAACAAATATGATATCTGGAAAGGAAATGAAAGTCATACTTCCTTTGTTTTAGAATTCAGAGCCTTATAACAAGTACAAAGTGACAAGTTAAACAAAACATGACTCAAGAGACATCAAGATGCAAAATTATAAAAACACTCAATTTCATTTTGGCTTGAACCTTTTTCCATATGAAATTTTTTTCAGCTATTAACTTAATTACATGAACCTCACTTCTTGAAAATGACTATATGTCAATGTTAATGAGAAACAAACTGTACCTTTTCTACAAGTTGTCCATTCTCCATTACTTTCACTTTCATGATGCGTTTTTGTACAGCATTAAATCCCTGTCCAGTCACTGTGATATTTCTGCCCCCGCTACATTAAGAAAGCAAATTATTTAGCATGACTGACTTATTAACATTGGCTGATGACAAAAAAAAGAGAAATGTATGTAAGAAACATACATAAAAGCATCGAGGGAGAAAAAAAAACAATGGTACGAGAAATGTATGACTAAAGGACCAAAAGCAAAAGGAAGGCAGACAAGTAATTACCAAATAAAAATGACCAATTTATTTTAGATTCAAACAACACTAAGGATGATCAATTGTCAATTGATAAATATATTGAAAACAAAGAAATTAGATACATCTACATAAATCTTGTTTTCTACGTCTATTTTTGACAAGGTTGAACTGATTTAAAATGTACCCAAAAAAATTATTATGCCATTCAAAGTTAACTTGGAATAGGAACCTAAGATTGGTTTGGCAGATCCCTCCGTTCCTCCACTCAAGAGGAAAGAAAATGGTTCAAATAGTCTTTTCTATCAGGTATTGACTGGACGTCATACATTTAAAGCTGTTGAACTGTGAACTGAGTAGGCCATATACTCACTGGAGGACAGCAAGACAAATTAGGTTCATAGATTCACACTATACCCAGGTTTTCATATTTTCTTTCAAATACATAACAGAACCATAAAAAAGCTGGGTGTACAAATCATCAAGTTCAGATTTTGAGTGGGAACGATTGTGTGTTGGTGTTCAATACCAGATAGGAGTGAATATTTGAACCAGTGCATTATGTTCTGAATAAATCAAACATTTTGTCAGGAAAAGAGGTTTTACCAAAGTTTGACTGGAAACCAAGTTATTTTAAAATAATATGTAGAATATTACCTGTAAATACTTCTTTGTGGATAAACATCATGGATTACAGGATTAGGGACATAGTCAAAATGATAGTTCTCAATAGCTTTCTTTGTGAATTTTCCATAGTGTACAAAAACAGTACATTTTTTGTCACCACTTTTAACAGTTCCATTAAGAGGACCAGTGATACAGATCAGGCTTTCATTAAATGCCATCCTGTAGAAAATAAAAGAAAACTTCAGTAGGATTTTAAAGAAAAATCAAAAACTCATTCTAGTATTTATTAATGGGGAAGATTGTAGCTAGCAGATCACTAAGTACATAAACATAATTCAATGGCTTAATGAAAACAAGATTCACAAAATTAATCTAACAATATACATTAAAATAACCCTCAACAGTATGATCCAGAGGCACAAGATTGTTTTTTCATTTAGTTCTGGAATGTGCAGGTTGCTGGTTGTGGCTATCCCTACTTAGCCTTGAGAAGGTGATGATGAGCTGCTTTCTTGTATTGCTGCATTCGCTGTAGATAGACCTGCAAGTGCCTTGGACAGGGAGTTCCAGGGTATTGATTGAGTGATGCTAAAGAAACAGCGATATATTTCCAAGTTAGGATGATGAGTGGCTTGGAGGGTAACTTGCTGGTGATGTTTATGGATGTGGTACCAATTAAGTGGTTTCTTTGTTTTGGACAGCACCAAGCTTCTTGAGTGTTACTGCAGCTGCACTCAGTCAGGGAAGCCGAGAGTATTCCATTACACTCTAGTTCTCTCTAATTTACATTCCATCTGCGAGGGTTTCTGAGGTCCATGTGCAGCAGTGACTTCTGGAACCAGAAGTCAATACCACGTTCAACGTGACAAAACCAATCACTGTTCATGGAAACTTGGAGGGAGTGCACATGCACACAGCCTAGAGAGAACACTGCTCCTGACTTGCACCTTGTAGACGGTGGAGAAGCTTTGGAGAGCTAGGAGGGGAGTTATTTGTTGCTGGATTCCTAACCTCTGACTTTCTGTGGTAGCCACAGTATTTATATGGCTGCTTCAGTTTGGGTTCTAGTCAATGGTAACTCCCAGGATGTTGACACTGTGGAATTCGGTGATGGCAATGCCATTGAATAACAGGGAATGACAGTTAGATTCTCTCTGCCACTTTCCAGCCCACATCAGGATAATGTCCAGGTGTTGCTACATTTGGATACGAATGGACTGCTTCAGTGTCTGACAAGTGGTGAATGATGCTGAACATTGTGCAATCATCAGTGAACATCCCAACCTCTGACCTCATGATGGGGGGTTGGTACTTGAGGAAGCAGCTGAAGACAGTGGGACCTAGGACACTCCTGAGAAACTCCTGCAGAGATGACTAGGGCCGAAATGACTGACCTCCAGCAGCAACAACAACAACAACAACCACCACCATCTTCTTTTGTGCCATATATGACTTGAAGTAATGGAGAGCACCCCCACTCCCACCCCCGATCCCCACTGACTCCAATTTTGCCAGGACTCCTCATTGCCCCACTCAGTCAAATGAAACTTGATGTTAAGGGCCCTCACTCTCACCTCACCTCTGAATTCAGCTCTTTTGTCCATGTTTGAACCAAGGCTGTCAGGAGATCAGAAACTGAGTGGTCTTGGCAGAATCCAAACTGGGTGTCAATGAGCAGTCTACTGCTGAGCAAGTACTGCTTCTTAGCATAGTTGATACCACCTTCCATCGCCTTACTGATGATCAAGAGTAGACTAATGGGGCGATAATTAGCCAGTTTGGAATTGTCCTGCTGTTTGTATACAGGACATACCAGTGCTAGTTTTCACATTGACAAACAGATACCAGTGTTGTAACTGTACTGGAACAGCTTGGCTGGGAGCTTGGCAAGTCGGGACCCCAGATCTTCAACACTATTGCTGAAATGTTGTCAGAACCCCATAGCCTTTGCAGCATCCAGTGTCTCTAGCTGTTTCTCGATATCACAAGGAGTGAATCAAACTGGCTGAGGACCGGCATCTGTGGCGCTGGAGACCTCTAGAGGAGGCCAAAATGGATTACCCACTCAGTACTACTGGCTGAAGATTGTTACAAGTTCTTCAGCCTCCTCTTCTGTGCTGGGCTCTCCCATCATTAAGGATGGGAATGTTTGTGGAGCCTCCTCCTTCTGTTAGTTGTCCATCACCATTCATAACTGGACGTGGTAGGACTCTGCAGAGCTTAGATCTGATCTGTAGATTGTGTCATTGCTTGGCTCTATTGGCATGCAAATATTCCTGTATTGTAGCATCACCAGTTTGGCATCTTATTTGTAAGTATGCCTGGCTCCTCCTGGCATGCCCTCATGCACTCTCCATTGAACCAGGATTGATCCTCTGGCTTGATGGTAAATGGTAATGTGGGGGGCATGCCAGGCCACAAGGTTTCAAATTATGATGGAGTACAATTCTGCTGCTTCTATTGGCTCACAGCACCTCATGGATGCCCAACGTGGAAATGCAGGATTTGTTCGAAGTCTATCCCATTTACACAGTGATGGTGCCACATAAAAAGATGTAAGGTATTCTCAATATGAAGACAGGACTTTGTCTTAACAAGGACTATGTAGTAGTCATTACTAAGGATTCTGTCATGAGCAATACATTAGTGGCAGGCAACTTGGTGAGGATAAGGTCAAGTATATTTTTCCCTCTTGTTCATTCTCTCAGCACCTATCACAGATCTCGTCTAGCAGCTATGCCTTTTAGGACTCCACCAACTCAGTCAGTAGTGTTGTTACGAAGCCACTCTTGGTGATGCACATTGAAGTTCCCACCCACAGTACATTCTACACCATTGTCACCCCTAGTTCTTCCTTCAAATGGTGTACAACATGGAGTAGTACTTACCTATCAGTGATGAGATACATGATCAATTAGATGAGGAATAAATGTTGGCCGGTATAGCAAAGCACTCCCTGCTCTTCTTCAAACAGTTATGTCTACCCAGTGAGAAAAGGTGTGTTTGGTTCATTGTTTCATCCAACATTGGCACCTCAAATTGTGAAGAACTCCTTCAGCACAGTAGTCAAGTATCAGTCTAGGTTATGTGCTCAAGTTCTGAACTAGGAACCTGAACCATAAGGTTTGACTCCAAAAATGACAGCATTATCATTGAATCGAGGCTGGCATGAGAAAATGTTCTATTCTATTCTGTTCTATTACCCTGATGTACTTACGTAAGGTATGATTTGTCTGATTAGCATACAAAACTGTATCTCAGTACATGGACAATAATAAATCAAATCAAAATTAACATCCCAATGATCTAGTCCCATTTTTTAATTATTTTATACAATGTTTTAAGTATAGCATTAAGAAGCACACATTAAAGCTGATGTATTTTTAAAATTTATTCACAGAATGAGGGCATCACTGGCTGAGCCAGCATTTATTATCATTCTTAATTGCCCAGAGGACAGCTCAGAGTCAACAAAATTGCTGTGGGTCTGCAGTCACATGTAGGCCAGACCAGGTAAGGATGGCAGTCTTCTCTAAAGGACATTAGTGAACCAGATGGATTTTTCCCAACAATCAGCAATGGATTCATGGTTATCATTAGACTCTTGATTCCAGATTTTTATTGAATTCAAATTCCACCATCTGCTATGGCAGGATTTGAACCTGATTCCCCAGAACATTATCTGGATCTCTGGATCTCTGGATTAACAGTCCAGCGATAATACCAAGAGGCCATTGCCTCCCCTAATAACAGAAGAAGATTTGGCAGGTTTGTTTCTTAAAGAAAATCTATCTTCATTTCCTTAGTTTACTTCCCCTATACAAACACTAATTAGTCCAATGAGTAACCTTCCCAAACTCTTTAACAATGCTGTTCTAAAAATGATTGCAAAAAGGTGCTCAAGGGAAACCTAGGGGGTTCTTTAATGAATTTCCTTGCTGCTTGTTGAAGTGTTTCTATTTTATTGTTTTCTTTAATTGGGAACTGAAAGCCCTCATACATAAGACAGAAATAAAATAGTTCACCCTAGCACCTTGAAAGTTCTGGAGCACTCTCAATGATTCTGAAGATTCATATGATCTCTATAGATTAGGAATACCACAGGTTTGATGAACAATCAATCTGAAGTAAGCTTGTAACAGCCAGAACTTTGTTGTGGTTGCTATAATTGGCCAATGTGAGCGTGAGGTGAGGGATTTGGACAAGATAGTTAATGTTATACATGTATTCCTTGCTGAGAGTACAGCTGGGGTGTTAGGTGAACACAGATTGAGGCTAAACTGTAATATTCTCAATAGACAAAAAAAGCATGAAACTCACTGGTTTGACTGTTTACAAGTAAAAATCTGCTCGAATGAGAAATATGAGGAAGACTATATCATGGAATTTTATTTCACTATGACTGCCATTACTTTCAGCAGATGATAGAGGAAGAACATAAAATAAATTGAAAGAAAACATAGAGATAGTAAGAACGGCCGACACTGGAGTCAGAGATAACACAGTGTGGAGCTGGAAGAACACAGCAGGCCAGGCAGCATCAGAGGAGCAGGAAAGCTGATATTTCGGGTCAAGACCCTTCTTCAGAAATGGGGAGGGGCAAGGGAGCTCAGAAATAAATATGGAGAGAGAGGGGCTAGGGCTGGGGCAAGTAGGTGGGATGGTGATAGGTGAGTGCAGGTAGGGAGTGGTGGGGATTGGTCAGTGAAGTGGAAGAGCCGGATAGGTGGGAGAGAAGATGAGCAGATTGTGTCATGTCAAGGAAGCGGGGATAAGAGGGAGGGTTGGTCATGGGATGAGGCTGGGAATGGAGAGATTTTGAAACTGGTAAAGTCCACGTTTAGGCCATTGGGCTGTAGGCTCCCAAGGCAGAATATGAAGCGCTGCTCCTCCAGTTTCCAGATGGTGTCATTGTGACACTGGAAGCGGCCCAGGATGGACATGTCACCCAGGGAGTGGGAGGGGGAGTTAAAATGGTTCGCGACTGGAAGGTGTTGTCACGAACAGAGCGCAGTTGCTCTACAAAACACAGTCACCGAGTCTACGCTTGGTCTCACCGATGTAGAGGAGGCCACATCAGGAGCAGCGGATGCAACAGACCACATTGACGGATATGCAGGTGAACCTCTGTTTGATCTGAAAGGTTTGTTTGGTTCCTTGGATAGAGGTAAGGGGTGAGGTGTAGGGACAGGTGTAGCACTTACTGCGGTTAGAGGGAA